GTCAGTTGGACTATGTCAGTTCAGCGTTGGAAGGGAAAAAAGTAAGGAAATCTGCATGTCTAAGAAATGTGAAGCCCGCCAATACGGACGTATTAGGGCAGCGTAATGAACACTTCTTCTGTGCCCTATAAACCTTTTCAGAAATAGGAGGAGGCCTGTGCTCAGTAATGGGACGTATATAGAATGTAACTAAGCAACTGATAATTAATAACAGTATACACTCGGACCTTTGAGGTTGTCAAAATGATCACAATCGTCGAGGTTGAGTACCCCGTTATCGTCACTAACAAACCTTAATATTGTTACGAGCTTGAGGTTCGTGACAATAAAAATTGCCGATAAAATTACCTAAATTAACACTTTAATTTACTTTACACAAATTAAAACTAAAAACACTAATAATTAAACACACTAATTCACTTAATTCCGCTCCGAAGCTTCGCTTGTGTCGCCGAGTTCAACTCTGCCCCGATCGCATCTTGCAGCGCCTATTTATATAATTAGCAAACAAGCGTCCCGAACATTCAAGTAAATGCGCGCCAGGCAACGAGTATTCGAGTGTAGATTTTCCAGAAACTTAGTTCTTCGGGTGGCGCTGTCGGTCAAAAGATTTGTGATGTCATTTACTGCAAAGCTCCCCTCGCTCTCGTTCCTGACACTAGATGGCGCTAGTGTGCCGATTTTAGCGCGTAACACTGCCCCCTCCTAAGACATGCTCGTCGCGAGGATTATCGGTCCCATAATAACGCGCTAGGCGATCCACATGGACGATCTTAGGAGTCCCTCTTGCGCCTTTCTGTAATGGCTCCGCAATGTCAAGGGATGTCCTATCCCGTGGTGCACCAACATTGTACAATTTCGATGCTCCTCTACTCCATGTCTGAGGTCCCCTCAGAGCCGCGCACAACTTGTACATGTACGACACCAATCCTCGACATCGTCACGATAATGGACCCAGTAAAACTGTTCTCGGACCTTCAGTAGAGTTCGTTTAACTCCCAGATGGACTCTTGAACAACCATTATGGCACAGTTGTAGAACATTCGGCACTTTAGCTTTAGGGACGACCATTTGCAGACGACAGCTGTCTCCTCGACCATTGTCCCATTTACGGCACAGGACTCCATCCTGAAGCAGCAAGCTGTCCCATTGGGCCCAATAGCTTTTCGTGGTTGAACTCATCGCTGAGACGTCCTTCCACTTAGGCTTGGTAGCACGGGCCTTCATCCATCCCAGAATTGGCTTGATGTCCGGATCTTCCTGCTGTGCATGTCGTAGGCTGTCCTTCCACCCGTTGCTGAGGTGGTCTGTTCTGAACATCCTCACAGATACCACTTCCTTACCTTGCCTACCACAATGGTTGCCATCTTCAGGACAAGGTATTCTTGACAACGCATCTGTGTTGCCGTGAGATTTCCCGCTGCAGTGTCTGATAGTAAAGTCGTATTCCTGCTGCTGCTGGGCGGTGCTGTTAGCCGCACTTCCTTTCTGAGACCGTTCACCTTCCCTTCCTAGGGTGTGCTTCGGGCAGCTGGACCGAAGATGGCCACTTTCCCCACAGCCATAGCACCTAGGGCTGTATCTTCTATTGTGGTCGCGAACCGTAACTGCTGCAACCTCCCTAGCGTGAGGTGAACGACGATCCTGTCGCCGCCAGGCAGTGCCGTTAGCTGCACTACCCTCCTGATATCGTTCACTTTCCCTTTTTAGGGTTCGCTTAGGGCAGCTGGATCGAAGATGGCCCTTTTCCCCACAGTCATAGCACCTAGGGCTGTATCCTCTGTTGCAATCGCGAACTGTAACTGCTGCAACCTCCCTGACGCGATGGGAACGATGATCCTGCCGCACGGCTTCTACCTCCAGTGCATGGGCCAAGGCGTCCTTAAGCGTCTCGTGGTGCCCGAGCCTCACAGCAGCTCTGACTTCCAGGTCACGGATGCCGTCGATGAATGTCTGCACCAGGTTCCCTTCAATGAGCGCAGGTACAGACCGGTATGCTTTTCACACCAGCTTCTCCACCTCTAGAGCCCACTGCCGCAGGTTTTCGTTGATGCGCTGCACGCGATCTTTAAATTGCGCACGAAAGACGTGTTCCAGATGAGCGTCGCCATATCTCGCCTCCAATGCCTCAAGGAGTTGCTCATAAGTCACTTCCTCACCGAGAGCTTCCAGAACTGTTAAGGCCTGGTCGCGCAGGCCTAGTGTGAGAGCAGTCATGGCCTGACTTTTATTCCAGCCGTTCGCCTTCATAACAACCTCGAACTGGATTTTGTAGGCTGACCAGGAAGAAGTCCCGTCGAATGGTGGCACCTTGAACCCACGTAGCGAAGGTGTAGTAGCTACTACGGGAGCTGTAGTTCCATCACCAAGTTTGAGTTCGTCAAGTGATTTCCTCATGTCAGCCATTACGTTGTCAACCCGATTGTTCACTTGGTCGATTTGGGTTTTAGCTTCCTTGATTTGGGTTTCAGCTTCCGACAGGCGGTTGTCATGTTGAGCAACCTTATCCTTCACCTCCTTTATCTCTTTCCCAAAGGTAGCATGAAGGTCCTTAATGAGGAGCATCTGCTCTTCCGACCGACGGGCCTGTTCCTCCTGTCGGCGGGCCTGCTCCTATTGTCCGCCCCGCAGCTGCTCTTCCAATCGGCGGGCCTGTTCCTCCTGTCCGCTCTGCAGCTGCTCTTTCAACTGACGGACCTGTTCCTCCTGTCGGCGAGCCTGTTCCTGCTGTCGGCGAGCCTGCTCCTGCAGCATCACCATCAGAGCACCTAAGTCAGGTGCAGCAGATGTAGGAGGAGGGTGCTGGCCCTCCGACGTCTGCGGCGTTGCACCACCAAATCTTCGTTGGTCCGTCTCCTGCTGGCGTTGACTTCGGGTACGGACACCCTCCGTTTCCTCCTTAGGTAAAATCGGCATGATTTTATCCCACTTCTGACACCAATTGTTACGAGCTTGAGGTTCGTGACAATAAAAATTGCCGAAAAAATTACCTAAATTAACACTTTAATTTACTTTACACAAATTAAAACTAAAAACACTAATAATTAAACACACTAATTCACTTAATTCCGCTCCGAAGCTTCGCTTGTGTCGCCGAGTTCAACTCTGCCCCGATCGCATCTTGCAGCGCCTATTTATATAATTAGCAAACAAGCGTCCCAAACATTCAAGTAAATGCGCTCCAGGCAACGAGTATTCGAGTGTAGATTTTCCAGAAACTTAGTTTTTCGGGTGGCGCTGTCGGTCGAAAGATTTGTGATGTCATTTACTGCAAAGCTCCCCTCGCTCTCGTTCCTGACACTAGATGGAGCTAGTGTGCCGAATTTAGCGCGTAACAATATTTTGTTTAATGCCGCCTCGTTCGTCTAGTGGTCGTAAGCGCGATCCTTGATCGTGAGGTTCCGGGTCCGAAACCTGAGTTGAGCCAAAAATCAGTTATTGGGTTTTTCCGTCAAGAAATTCGCAGTAGGAGCCTGGAGTCTTGAAGTTGGCGGTGTTTCACACCCGTGCCTCGGAAAGCACGTAAAGCCGTCGATACTGCGCCTGATCTCTCTCCGATCGTATCGGACTACCGTCCATCGGACTTTGAAAGTGAAGGAATAGACAGTGCACCTGTGCTTGCGCATAATCTTGGGCACTATAATCCTGTCCCGCACAGGTGGCAGTCTACGTTATGACTGCCGGCCTTCGTTCTGTAGGACACTATGTTTTAAAAATTAAACGTAAAATAAAATATATTACATCGTACAAAATTATACAATGATGTTTTTAACAAGCAAATTCAAGATAAAGACATTTACCTATATTAAAATTCCATTTTCTTCAGTGTTATCATAGTCATACTATTCGGTGAAAGGAGGTGATTTTTTTCGCGGTGTCGCCTTATGTATTAAGCTCTCACATGCAAGAACATTCCAATATAATAAAATATTGGCAACTGATAGGTTAAATTTATTTATTTCACCAATAAAATTAAAAGTTGAGCTAATATTTTATTTATTTTAAGCAACACATATCCAACGTTATTCAACATAACATAAATACACACTCACATCTATCACCCAGAGGAGTAGGCAGAGACAATGGACTTCCATTTATCACGGTCCTGACACACCTCTTTCGCATCCTTTACATCCAATATACATACATCCAGGTCCATCTGTAATAAATTGCTTTCCTCGTTTAATTTTTCTACATAACCAAACCACCGAAAGATTCCTTTCTTAATCCTGTTCACAACATCATCTTGCACACCACACTTTTCTCTTATCGGTCAATTTCCATCTTTATTACACCCTGATATTCACATACTCCTAAATAACCGCATTTCTACCTGCTTCTTGCTTCTTTTTCCACATATAACTTGCACTACATCAGAACTGTCCATAAATAGGTTGAACACCAACAAGGATGCTACATAACCCTGTCTGACACCTTCATGAATATCAAATAAGTCCAAGTAGGCCACGTTCATCCTTATACCAAAACTAAAGTCTAAAACATTTAAAATCTACACAGCGCACAACCCAAATTAAAACAGTGTTTGCAATAAAATAATCCCTGTTCAATCGCTAATGTTATGTGGTAATTTAATTCTGTATACTTTAGTTATATTTTAGTTTAATGATTTAGCTTCTCTCAGAGATGAAGACGCCTTAACCGTAGCACACTGAAGATGGATTAACAATTGTCATGCTGATCTGCTGCTAACATAAAATATTGTTGTTAGGTCCTGCAAATTTTTCTGGCATTTTTATGGTCAAACTTTTACGAAACTACGTGATTAAATGAGATAATAAATTTTTCTACGCTGCTGCCACCTCATAGCGATTAGTAATCAGTAAAGTTTTTGAAAGACAGAGAAAAAGCAAGCCGAAAAAGAGAGGGAAGATTTTCATTAAAGTGGGGGGATTCGCTTTAAGGTTTATTTGAGAAATGATAATGATCAAACAGAAGTGTTTGATTATTGCTGTAGAACAATCTCCATCTGACTCAAAATGATGAAACATAAATACTTAGTCACATTTTATAGAAATTGTGCCAGTTGGTAAGTTTTACATTCGCAACTAAAACACCATATTATTTTTAAATGTTTTTGTCAATTGACAGTCACAATGTTTTCTGTTTGTTTTTAAAATATATCGTGAATAAAATATTTTAAATTTTATTGAGTTAAGATTTAAAATTCTTAAATTAGGTTATCTTTATAATAATATATGTACCTACTTAACGCGATATTTCTAAGATCAGTTAATTGGTTCGCTTTCGTAGTGCAACCATATAAAACTTTTAACCAGATCCGATGATACCTACATATTCTTAAGCTTTCAGTGTATATTGATATTCTATATATTATTATTTTATATATTATTCGGTGTTTGAAAATTCACTGACACTGACAAGACGGCGGGAATCAGACCATATGTGCAGCGACGTCTTCTAAAATAACAAATAGAGAATAAAAAAACTGAACTGAAAAACTTTATAACTCGCCACACAAAATTGAATTGGCACGCATGAGTTTCATCGTTATTTTTTAGATACGTCGATTTGAACCACCGTTGAATGAAGCCACCGAAGTGGATAAAACTAAAATTGTAAATCGGCATTTATTTTTAGCCGTTATACTAAAATCATTTACTTGAATTAAAATGTAAAAAATTCATAAGTTAGGTATTTTCAAAAAACGATAACATTTCAAAGATGTATGTAAGCTCGGGCGTTTTTATAATTACGTAAAGATTTCTTATGTTCGAAATTTACACATTTGAGGTAATTTTATATTTTCAACATCCGACTTTTGTTTGTTATGCAAGACCTCCGGACACTTGGTGGACATAGGTGTTCATCGTGCTGATGTCACAGTTAACATTAAGACCCAGGCTCTGTCTTATAATTCATTTTTGGTCTGCTACGTAGATTACACTTACGTTGTCTAATTACAAAAGGTGGTTTATGACATAGTCGAGCTTAAGCTACGGCTTAAAAGAGTACAAGAAAGACGAGCTTTAGCAACGTGAATTGCATACTTTATATTTTATTTCGCATATTTTTCGCGGAACCTCTTGGCGAAACAGAATCTGGTTTCAGCATAAAAATAATTATATGTACTTACTACTTCATGTAAAAGTTTTTGGAATAAGATGGAAATTATAGAAGCCTTGCAATAGTATGCTACGGTTATTAAATACAATATAAAAATAAGTGTTATTTTAGGTATTTTACCTTTAAAACTTGTATACTTTTTATTATATAATAAAAAATCGATTTATTTTTAGGGTAGCTACGACTCACAGACCAGCAACACTGTCAACAAAATTCATTAAGACATTTAATGAATATTATACAAAAATGATAGACAAATCAATAGAAAATAACAAATATATTGATCACCCACTTACAAAAGACCGAATTAAAAAGGTAAACTTAATTACCTATGCATGTTTCTTTTATAATATACTTATTTTGTATATATATTTCTAATGAAAAGAAGATACAATGCAAATAAGAACTACAAATAATTTCAGATGTGTGAACATTTTGTACTCTCAAAATTTCCACTGCAAGGAGAATTTTTAATCTATGCTTACGAATCGTTAGAAGAACCTGAAAATATAACAGATGAGATGTTGCAGCAGGCTTATTGCTTAGCCTGTGTCTCAGAAACGGTACGTTCAGTATTCACTAGCATATAGTATATAAGGTGAAGAAAAACATCATAACTGCCTGCATAACCTGCCCATGTAACCTGGAAACCTGTACATCTGAGTGAATGTGATATCCGCCAATACCCACCGGAGCAGTGCGGACAAATTGCTCCACAACCCTCTCACAAGTTAGAGGAGGCCCGTTAAAAATTGTGGGATGTAAATAGGTTGTAACTTTTTCATATTATACGTGAAAGTCTACGGCACTGCGCGTAGCGTGTTTGTTGTATGTTATAAGTAAGAGTTTGACACCTTTGCTTGTGATACAAGCGGACAGTTTCCCTGCTGATAAGGAATCAGCAGTACTGCTATTTTACGCTGATATCCTGTAAGACTTTAGTACTTTCTGGTCGAGCGAACCTACTCGGGCTGCAGTTATAATAATGTAGCTGCAGCGTGACTCTACCACTTACTAATATCCTAATTTGCACGTAGCATTAGAATGTCTTGCAAGTTTATGTTCTGAGTCTGCATGTTAGTCTACGTGCACCATATCTCCATTATATAGAATAAACTCTAAGCGTGGACGTTAACGCTTTTTAAAATAAATAAATTAACTTCTCAAAGCAAGCAAATTAAAAAAAGGAGGGGGCAAACGAGCATGCGGCTCACCCGGTGGTAATTGACTACCGCCGCCCATTAACAACCGCAACATCATAAGAATTACCTGCAATTATCATCAGCGTTGCCGATCTTTTAGAAAGGAGTAAGCTCTTTTCTTGAAGGTCTCTAAGACGTAATGGTTCGTAAAAATAGCCGGTGGTAAACAACGATTCCACTGAGGGGTCTTACGAGGAGGAAAACTACTAGTAAAAAGTACGGTGGGGAACCACCAAGCATCCAGATAGTGTGGATGATATCGTGATTTCATCGTCATCATATTTACGGTCAGTTTTTGGATGTACGTCAGTTCAACTGAGCAGTTTAACTGACAGTACGCCCGAAAAATCCATGGGTTACCGTCAGTTCAAAATTTCAACTTAAGATTTTACACTCACGGTCAGTTTTTGGATGTACGTCAGTTCAACTGATCATTTTAACCGACCGTGTATGGTGACCATTAAAAATATTTCTTTACAACCCAAAAACAATTTTACCAGTTTGTGAAGCTAAGAAGTTTTCACTCCTGATGTGCAGTCCTACAACTGACAGTTCTTATTTTATTTCTTAATTGTATAATAAATCAATTATAATTGTGGCCATTTTTGTTTTAGTTTCAGTCCTATTATTTGATACAGGATGATGTGTATGATAACAGTAAAATGCGCTCAGGAGTATCCAGCTGGCACTTGCAGCCTGGTGCTAGTGCTATGGCGATGAACGACACGTGTATTTTGCGAAGTTTCGTCAGTGAAATCCTGAGACAAAATATTAAGGAAACGTTTTATACGAAAGTTATAGACACTTTTAATGAGGTTTGATATGTTTATATTAATACAGAAAGTTCCGATTTGAAATGAAATGAAAATACTTGCTGAAGTTTAGCCCGCTGACCGCCCTAAGGGGCGTTCTAGATGGAGTGGCGACCTGTTAAAGAAATGCAGAAAGTCAGTGGATGCAGGTGACTCAGGAGTGTGCTTTGTGGTATTCCCGGGGGGGAGGTCTATGTGCAGCAGTGGATATATGAAGGGCTGTAATGATGACGATTATTAAGTTTTTCGGAATTGTATATCGAAAACACAGAAAAACCTTCTGGCCTCCGAAAGATAGCGATATATTCATATATCTCCTATTTGGCAAATGTTTGCGTTTTAATAGCTGGTAGAACTGCCTTTCTACCTAGGCATCCGACTGGGTGGGTACTACCACAAGGTGAACTGTAAGCTTTTTTTGCCATTTCAATTTTATTAAGACCTAGCGACTATCGCCCGGATATTCGAATTTCTTTTTTCGTACAAGATATACCCTAGATCACTCCTGGCATCGCCTTTATTAATAAAATTATCTGTTCGAGAAGTTACATTACAATCGAATTAGCCGTTTCGAAGATAAGCTTGAACAAAGAAATATACAGACATACAATCAAAAATTATAAAAGTGGTTATTTATATTTTAATGATATGCAAATGGAGCTGTTAATTATGTATATTAGATTATTATTTGAGCTCAATAAGAGGCTGTCAATTCCTTAGTACATATACAGCCATCACTTAAAAATTTAATTTTTATGTATAGATATGTAAAATCCAGACTGGCGATGGGAAGCAGTGAATATCTTGTACTGAGCTTGCTAATTCGCCTACCAAGTGTGGCAATTAAGACGATTTATATCTGAAATCAGAAAAACCGTTATCCAGCAGGGGACTGTTCCGGTTAAATTAAAGATGAAAGATTAATAATTTAAAAAAAATATTTGTTTCTTCGCAGATGTATCTCGTAATGGAGATGGGGCAAGTTCTAGATTTATACTTTGCACAATCAAAAAGCTATGACGATTTCACGATGGAAAATTATGATAAGATGAGTTACATGAAAGCTTCATATTATTGCATGAACTCACCGATTTTATTCGCATTAATATTATGCAATAAGGCGAACGAAGAATCTTATAAGCTTGTGCTTGATTTGTGCAATGACCTTGGCGTTTTCATTCAGATACACGTAAGCTATATTAATGTATTTTTCAGATATCGTCCTTATATTTAAACGTGCTATTTATTTATGCGTGGTAGAGCTAAGCTGCAGCTATATTATGGTTGTAGCAAGAATTGGTCGACTCGACTGCGGCAGGACCAAGCTCTCACAGTAAAATAACACAGTAAAGAATCGGTGCTCCATAAATTCCCCAATAGAGGTACAGTCACCACGTTTGGTACGTTTTTTTTATAGAAGAGGGTGCAAACGACCATGTGGCTCACCTGATGTTAAGTGACTACCGCCGCCCATGATCAACCGCAACACCAGGATAATTGCAGGTGCGTTGCCGGCCCTTTAGAAAGGAGTAAGCTCTTTTCTTGAAGGTCTCCAGGTCGTATCGGTCCGGAAAAATCGCCGGTGGTAAATTATTCCACAGAGAGGTTGTACGCGGAAGAAAACTCCTTTTGAAACGTACAGTGGTGGACCGCCAAGTATCCAGATGGTGTGGATGGTATCGGGACGTTTGCCGCGTAGTGCATTCACGAAATTTGGTGACTGGGATTAATCCGAACAATTCCTCAGAGCACTCTCCATGGTATATGCGAAAGAAAATACAAAGGGATGCAACATCTCTTCGCAGTGCCAGTGAATCGAGCCGATCGGAAAGCACTCGGTCGTCGACGATTCGAGCCGCTCTGCGCTGGATGCGGTCAAGTGGAAGGAGCTGGTACTGGGGAGCTCCAGCCCAGAGATGGGAACAGTATTCCATGTGTGGCCGAACCTACACCTTATAAAGTTGCAGGCGGTATGCCGGCATGAAATACTGTCCCGCTCTGCGGAGCACGCCAAGCTTTTTAGAGGCCAGTTTGGCCTTCTCTTCCAAGTGACCACAAAACTGCACCTCACTCGATATATCGACGCCGAGGATTCCGATACTGGCTGAGGCAACAAGGGGAGTGCCTTGAAACTGAGGAGATACGACAAAGAGGTTCTTTTTGGCGGTTAATGCGCAAACTTGTGCCTTCTGAGGATTAAACTGGACTAGATTTAGTCGCCCCCAATCCGAGACTCTGTCCAGCAGAGACTCGACTTCAGACACAAGTTTGTCCCGGCACTCAGAGACGTTTTCCCGAGAAATATTGGCTCGGCCGGTGTAAAGAGCATCACCAGTGCTGTTATCTGCATAGCAATGAATGTTACGGGTTTGCAACATATCATTGATATGCAGAAGAAACAGCGTTGGCGATAGCACGCAGCCCTGTGGAACACCAGCATTAATAGGCTTGCAATCGGAGCTTGCACCATCTACAACGACCTTGATGCTCCGACCTGCAAGAAAACTGATGCTCCAATCGCACAATTTCTCGGGAAGCCCATAGGAAGGGAGCTTCGAAAGAAGCGCTTTGTGCCAAACCCGATCGAAGGCCTTCGCAATGTCCAAACTAACGGCCAATGCCTCCCCCTGGACTCTACTGCCTCCGCCCATCTGTGGGTTAGGTAGACCAGAAGATCACCAGCTGACCGACCACGGCGAAAACCGTATTGGCGGTCACTAATCAACTGGTGATCCTCAAGGTACCTCATGAGCTGGCAGTTTACAATGGACTCCATTGTTTTGGAGCACAAGGAGGTGATGGCGACGGGCCGGTACTTGGACGGGTCTGAGCGGTCGCCTTTTTTAGGGATCGGGTGGACGAAAGCCGTCTTCCATGATTTTGGGACTACGCCTAGGGAGTAGGAGTACCGGAAAAGACGCGTTAAAACCGGTGCCAACTCTGGAGCACACGTCCTCAGCACAATTGGGGGGATTCCGTCAGGCCCACTCGACTTGTGGATGTCCAAGGAGAGGAGTGCTTTGCGAACCGAGCGCTGAGTGAACTGCACTTCCGGCATGGAGCACTCACACCGCGGGATGGTCGGCGGCGTACTCCCCCCGTCATCGAGAGTCGAGTTAGACGCAAAGAAAGAGCCTAGAAGATCGGCTTTCTCCTTTGCGGTGTGGGCCAGTGAGTCGTCCTCCCTGTGCAGAGATGGAAGAGATGGCTGACAGAAATTCCCCTGGACAGCCTTGGCGAGAGACCAGAATGCACGGGTTCCAGAAGGAAGACGAACTAGTCTCTCGCCAATTCTGCCTATGTGCTCTGACTTTGCCTTGGCAATGACTCTTTTGAAGGACCTAGAGGCGGAATTATACTTCTTTTTTTAGAGCGCTGGTGTTTACATTCCTGGACGCTGATGCGTCAGCCCAGGCTTGGTAGCACTCCTGCTTATAGCATGATGCTATTTTACAGGAGCGACCAAACCATGGCTGAGATTTGCCTCCAATGGGCACCACAGAGGAAGGAATAAAAAGTTCCATACCCTGAAGTACCACATCAGCGACAGAATCCGCAACAACATTGGGATCGTCCAGCGAGAAGCAAACCCGCCCCCCTAGGGTAGGATGCAAAGAAAGACCGCATCCCATCCCAATCGGCTGACCTATAGTGCCAAACACGGCGACAGCCTGCAGACTGCAACTGCGATTTCAGCGTGAGTGGCACCACACTCCGGACAAGACAATGGTCCGAGGAGCCTAAAGGGGCGTCGACGGAAATGTGAGTGTACAACTGCAGTTTTCTAATATTTTGAACTGTAATCACGAAGATGCTGCTGCCCATCCCCTGTTTCAGTTTCATGCCGTCGCGTCTTACTCTTACTATCCCCAGGGGATGATTTGAGGTGATGGATATTCTTGCACCATCATTACAAGTTGAAGGTAGATAAAAGTCTCTAATACCAATGAAATTGTAACGCGATAGTAATAATAATTTAAGCACCGATTTGTAAATTTTCATTTAACGGTGAAAGAACACATTGTGAGAAAATCTGTTTGTCTGAAAAATAAAACAATTCGAGGACCCAACGTAAAATGTGCGATCACGTACATACTGGGGTAGTGTGGTGGACCAACTGTTAGTAGGAGTAGCAGTAACAAGAGGATTCTTATGTCCAGCAGTGAGACGTATAGCCTATAGCTTTAAATGACTGAGGTTTTTATTATTTTTATTTAGAATGACTTTACGGAGTGTTTCGACGTCGGTGAGTCAATGAGTAAAAAATCCACTAACGACATTGAAAATAATAAACTATCGTGGACGGCTGTAGTCGCATTACAGCACTTCAATACCGAGCAAAGAAATATTTTTAACGAATGTTATGGAATCCCAAATCCAGAAAAAATTAAGCGAATTATACAACTGTACGAAGAAGTAAATTTGCGGCAGCTGTTTAAAGAAGAGGAGAATGCTCGCTATAACAATTTTCTACGAAAAGTTCAAAATTTACCGGCGACTGCTACACCTGCTCCAGATTTTTTTATGAAGATTTTTAACTACTTTAAAAGTTACGCCAGTGATTCGTCTAGATTTTACTACGCTTAATAGTTTGTATAAAAAATAAAGGTTTTGGGCTTCGGATTTTTTTTAGTTTAGAGACGTCTATGAAAAGAAGTGTTTATTAAATAATAAAAAATATTTTAATAAAAAAGTAATAGCCAAGTTTAAACAATTAAACAAATTATTATAATTTCATATTCTGAAGTAGGTGCTAATACACAGTGTATGTAAGAATTAATGCCTAAAGAATATAACAACCTCAATGTCCTCTAAATAGTTACATTAAAAGAGTGAATCACATTTAAAACTTCATGTCTTAACCTATTCAATAACAAATAATCATCAAAAACGGTTCACAGTTGGGCTTATACCGTTTATCCACCCTAAAAAATCCACCCTAGGATGGATGCTCAGAAACGCGTGTTTACGCGTGTTCATCTATCCACTCCAAACGGAGTGGGTAATTGGCATTCATATATATTATTTTGCTTCCGATTTTATCCTTTGGCTGTGTACAGCCATTTATATAAACGTAATAAAAACTGACTCACGGTATATAGTAGATATAATTTATAAAATATGTACGTACTTGTTAATTGAAAAATCAACGCTGCAATAAAAGGAGTGCCTCACAGGATTACAGATTCATTGGAATCTTGGCATAAAATGAATCCAATAGTTACATTTTTTTTAAATCTTAGTTCTTTGTTAAAACATTTTTGGTAGCAAAGAAATTTAGAAAACGATTGCAGTCGTACCTTAAAATTGACCAATTTAGCAATATAATAATGAAATTTGTGTTTGTAATTGCCCGGAAATATTGTAGTGCCCGGAATAATATTATTTTAAACGAGGAAGTATAATATTATTTAAATGCAATACGTAATTGCATGGATTTTAATATGCTGCAACGGAAACCATAACGACAGACAATATGTAATATGTCCTTTCAAATAAGTTTGTAGTTATTAAAAAAATCATTAATAATTAAAGTGTAATATGTGTTGAACTGTATACTTGGAGTAAAAAGTTGGAAGAACAAATAAAAGTGAATTCCGATTATTCATCTTGGGCGCATTTTAGGGAATATAAACGGATTAACCACACAATTGACGACGATATCGCGTAACATACATGCAAAAAAACTGATGCTGTTGAATTGTAAACTAAAAATGTAATATATGTCTTGATATTTAATTATAGTTTCAACCTCCTCCAGTAATGAATTAGTGTTAATATGGATTCGAGTACGTAATTTTGAAATTTTAAATATTATATTATTGTAGACAACACTTTTTTGTTTTAGTAAATTGAACACAACATTATAAATATAATATCATATATCCTTTAGTCGTAACTTGCGTTTGATTGGAAACGCAAGCTTATAAAAACTTATGTTCTGTGCATTACATTGCATGTCTACTTCATATAACAATACATTGATGAGAAAAAATGTGGCTTTGTGTTTGCTTGAGTTATAGCATGACCGAATTAATTGCGATAATCATTACGCTATAATTTTTTTCGTTATTTATAAGGCAATAAGGATGGTAACACTATCATGAAGTAACTTTTAAGTTTTATTCATTCATTCATCATTCAAATGTACTGGCGTTATCAAAAGTCTATAGCAAGGCATAGGTCTTAGCAGGCGGGTTGCCAGCCGCTGCTTTTTATTATTTTGAAATGTCATCAGGGAGATGCTGCTGCACAATTCATTTCTATCGCCGGAAATGACGTCAACGGGATTATAATGGCTAGTGGATTCTCTAACGTCTCCGTTAATACATAGTATATTTTTAAAGATTAACTTAATTTAAAGGAGCAAACACAACAGGAAATGGCAGTAGCGTCTTCCTTATAACAACTCAAAATTATAAAAAAATGCAGCAGCCAACCCGCTTGCCAAGCGTGGACGGAAGACGCAGATTCGAATCCCGAAAAGAAGCCTCTATTACAAAACAAAAAAAAATTATTTATGGTTTATAAATAATTTGTTTTGAGTTTGGATACATGTCCGTGTGCAATTTATCTATGCATATAGATCTTACTATATAGCAGAAAACTTAGATTAGAGCAACGTTTAAAAAATAATAAAAAAGCAGCGGTCGCTCTACAAAGTCGTTTTGCAGCGTCAGAATGCTTCGTTGAATACCTTTTGATAAAAGAAAAAATGAATAGAGAGGCTACCATGATTTTTGTTTTGTTTAGATCACAAACTATCATAATAAATGTATACGTGGTTTAACCACGTTTCAGCTTTATTATGGTTATAGCACGAATGGGTCGGCTCGACCGGGAAAGGATAACGCTCTCACAGAATACCAGCGTAAAATAGCAGCTTAATACTGCTGTCTTTCGTATGGTGAGTGTAGAGATACGGAGATATCTTTTTATTGGAAACGAGGCATTCCATCTTAGTCCTCAGGGGTGACAACGCATCAGTATTTTGATTCGTAATCGAGGATAAATGTAGATGTCTATGGGCCGAAGCATCCAATTACATCAGGTGCACTGTGTGTTCGTTTGTCACCCTCATTCTATTAAAAAAAAAATCGGAAACTGTTTCAGTGAAATCTCTCTCTATCTACTACTTTAACTTTTAGTCAACTTGCAACCTCAGGGCCAGTCTTCGTGCCGGATGAAGTTGATTTCACGCGCTGCCAGCCAGTCTTGTGTGCTCTTCGCTCTATGAGCTGGCGCCGAATCTTGTTGGAATACCCAGTGAATGTTATTGAACATGGTATGAGAAACAGGTTCCACAAGGTTCGCCAGGACTGTATTTTGATACACAAATGCATTCGTTTTTACACCTTTCTCACAAAACTGTACCTCTGTTAAGCCCCAATAAGAAACTCCCAACCATACCGTGAGCGAGGATGGAAAATGACCTCGTTGGACACGCGGAATACCGTTGCTCGCTTCTTCACTACTGTGTATGTACACCTTATCGTTTTGTTTCATATTTTCTTTACGGTAAAAATTTTTTCATCCGAAAAAATAATTTCCCGATTTTTTTCCCGCGTACCACTTTAACAAAGCGCGGCATCTCTTCAGTCTCAGGTCCATTAGACGAGCATTCAAACGATGTCCTGTTTTTCTTCGATATGCCCGAAGCTCTAAGTCTTTATTTAACACCCTTTTCACCGTGGTTCTGCTTAACCCCATCTGAAGGGCCAACGGTTTCTGCTTACGTTTGGGATTTTTTTTGAATTCGCGCCTTCACAGCTTTTATCACTGCTGGAGTCCTAACAGACAGCGGGCGACCACTTCTAGACCTGTCATCTACACTAGAGTCTTCATTGTATCGTTTGATGGTACGATAAACGAATCTTTTGGTTATATTCAAATTTTTCAGTACGTCAAAAATTTGAATTGTTGCGTAACGGCAACGATGCAACGCAATAACTGCAACACGGTCTTCTTTAAGCGTCCACTCCATATTTAAAAATGAGTAAAATTCTAAAAAGTATACAGTTTTATTTTCATGAACAATTCGAAATTCGAATTCAATAAACTTTTTTGTGGCCAGCATTCTAAAAGAAAAGTTTTTACTGTGTGACAATACTTATGACCTGACTGTGTGTATATATATATATAGTACCCGGTTGACCGAGCTTTGCTCGGTATTTTTCGCTCGGTTTTTTTTTTAATTCATGTGTTTTGGAAATTATATTTAGATATAAATTACATACTGATGAAATACGAATAATATATCTTAGCGACATAATAGAAAAAACTGAACTGGTTATTTGAATAAAAAAATCATGAGTGCAATTAGTTTAATTTAAATTTTCGTGTTTTTAAAAAATACTAAAAAAAGATCGAAAAAATAGATTTTCTCAAAAAAGAAAGGAACTTGAAAAAAAAATTTAAAAAGTCGGTCGGTCGGTCTGGGCTCGAACCATGGTATTACGATTTTGTGACCGCCCTATATACCAATTAAGCTATTTGTAATCATTAATAAACTGTCAAATTTACCTTCTTATTCTAACGATATTGTAGCAGATTTTCATTGCCTAAAACACGGACAAAAACACATTTTCTAAAAATAAATCCTAGCTAGATCGATTTATTGCCCCCGAAAGTCCCTGCACACAAAATTTTATGAAAATCGTTGGAGCCGTTTCCGAGATTCCGATTATATATATATACAAGAATTGTTCGTTTAAAGGTATAGGATATATATATATATATATATATATATATATATATATATATATATATATATATATATATATATATATATGTTCTATATATAAGTATTTTTTAAGAAGGCATGGTACAATAGTTTGGATGAAAAGAGATATACAATGAATAAAGATACTAAAGAAGGAAAATGTAAGATTCGGTAAAACTGACTGTAAAACTCGAATGAGTTCCTAAGTATTGTCCTAAAATTTATAATAAAATATAAACACCTATGTACAGTTCTAATTTAATTGTACTAGAGTACAGTTCTTAAGAATTTTAACACGTACAATCAAGCTTTTTAATTCTTGACGTTTCGAGTACTTTTCAACCGTTTATGTGTGTAAACTACTCCAAGTTTTTAACTCCTTTGGTGACGGGGGACTGACGTCCCAATGTAAGCCACGGCTGACTTCAGCTTAAAATTGTTAATTTTTGGTCCAATCTACGCAGAGAGTACTTATAATCTTGAAGTTTTTCTGTGATATATTTGTTTGGAATTCAATTAATTAATTATACGAGAAGTCTTCTTCGCCACAGTCTGTCTGCTTTCAAGGCAATAATGAATAGGCTTTTATTACAACACTGGGTAATAATAAGTTAAAATGTTTAACTTCAACAGACCATAAGCTAGTGCTTGATTACAATCCTATTAACTATTGTCTTGAACATCAAAGTAAAGTTACAGTCTAGCCTATAATATACGTCCCACTGCTGGGCACAGGCCTCCTCTCATGTCTGAGAGGATTTTAGGGCAAGGAAGTGTCCGCCGCGCTGCCCCAGTCTTATTCCTCTAACATGCAGGTTTTCTCACGATGTTTTCCTTCACCGCCGTGCACGTGGTAAATCATCAT